CCTCCAAGCCAGGACTGCTTTGCAAGCGGGGAACCCCTGAGAACTGTCTGTCCGGGGTGGGGGTCGGGTCCCTTTAAGCACAGCCCTCGGCTAGCCTGAGGCAGCAGCTCCATGCTCTAAGTCCTCATCTGATGCCCTGCCAGCACTGCTTCTGGCTATCCTTAACCCCGGTTCAGGGTCCACTTAATGTGGACATGCTAGTTCGAATTAGCAAAACGCTAATTCGAACTAGTTTTTAGTTCTAGACGCGTTAGTTCGAATTACCTTAGTTCGAATTAACTAATTCGAACTAAGTTAGTTCGAACTAACTCTGTAGTGTAGACATACCCAATCTCTTTAGCCTCTCTTCATATGGGACCTCTTCCAAACCTCTAATCATTTTAGTTGCCCTCCCCTCTCCCAGCCTCTCTCTTCCCCTCTCCCACCTCCTTTTCCCAGTCTCCCCCTGTTTTGCTCAATAAAGAGAGATTCTATTTTTGACCACACGTTTTTTTATTTTGTACATCAGGAAGGGGGGCTAGGGAAGGGTAAGTGGAAGGAGGTGAGGGAGGAATGGGGTAAGAGCCCCCGATGGGGAGGACTGGGCTGGCTCTGCGGGCTTCTGGGGTGGAAGCTCTCCTGCAGCCCCCCAATTTCCCCCTCTCCCCAGATGGCAGCCTGCGGCAAGTGCAGCCGGTCTGATGGCCGAGTGCTGTGATGTGCCCAGTGTGGGCACTCAGGGCACTCCAAGCCAGGACTGCTTTGCAAGCGGGGCACCCCTGAGAACTGTTTGTCCGGGGTTGGGGTCGGGACCCTTTAAGCACAGCCCTCGGCTAGCCTGAGGCAGCAGCTCCATGCTCTAAGTCCTCATCTGATGCCCTGCCAGCACTGCTTCTGGCTATCCTTAACCCCGGTTCAGGGTCCACTTAATGTGGACATGCTAGTTTGAATTAGCAAAACGCTAATTCGAACTAGTTTTTTAATCTGGATCCGTTAGTTCGAATTAGCTTAGTTCAAATTAACTAATTCGAACTAAGTTAGTTTGAATTAGTGCTGTAGTGTAGACATACCCTCAGAGATGACTTCCCCTCCGAGTTGTGGATGCTCAACACCTCCCTCCTTCCCCCCCACCTCAGATCCCACCTTCACTCTAACCCTTCCCCAACACCCTGCTCCTGCTTTGCCTCTTCCCGCTCCAGCTCTGCTCCTATCTGCCCCCACTCCACTCCCTTACCCTGCCCTGCTTCTTCCCCGCCTCCTCCTGAGTGTGCCCCATCCCTGATGCTCCCCCTTCCTCCCAGAGCTTCCTGAATACCATGAAGCATCTGTGGGAGGAGTTGGTAGGCCTGGGGAGGGAAGCAGAAGAGGGGAGCTTGGCTGTTGGTGGGTGCTCTGCACCCAGTAATTTTTCCCTGTGGTGACTCAAGCCCTGGAACACCCACAATGTAGGCACCTATGATGTAGGAGTGATTGAACCAACATGCCAAGTGTCCCAAGTGATGACACCATGTTAGCATTACCAGCCACAGTTTAGTCTGTGACCAAAGCTAGTCATATTTACCCAAATATATCAACACGTGGTGTGAGTTTTTTGTGCTGCTTCTCCCCAAGTTGCAAGAAAAAACTGTCAGCCTAGAGGAATAGCTATTAGCCAGCTTTGTGCTCTCCTAATTGATGTGGCTCTAGAGTAAATAAGCCAGCACTGGAGCATATCCTGCAGCAGCATAAAAGGAGAAAGGACATTTTTCCAGTGGTATTTAAGGAGGCTTCTTAATAAGCTGCCATGTAAAATTTTACCTGTAAAATTCCTGCCTTGTTCCTATGACCAGCCATTGATAATTAATCTATAAAAGAAGCTTCATTGCCATAGCAACAACCCGGATGTATATTGAAAAAGCACAGGTCCTGCATTGACAAAATAAGCAAATGCTGGGAAAAGCTGCCCTGAAATTGCAAGGTTACTTTGGAGTGGTTCCGGTTACAGCAGTGCAGGAGAGGATTACCCTTATCTGACTTCTCTATAGAGCAGTTCATAAATCTGTAATATGTGAAGTGGTGCTTGTCAACTTTCATTTATTTTCTTTCTTCTCTTATCAGGGGGACAGGAAGACTGCATCCTATCTTATGAACCTGTCACAAGACAGGAAAGTAAGTTCTACCTGCTGTTCTTTTATTATTGTTATTAGTGATCATGCCAAGGGACTAGTTGAGAAGTGGGCCCTGTTGGAGCAGCACTGTTCAAATATAGAATAAGAGACTATCCCTGCCCCAAAGACCATACACATCTGAATAAACAAGCCAGAGAGAGTGCTGAGAAAGGAATACAGTAGGGAGAGTGAACAGTGTGATGGCAGCAGGTGTCATGTTAGTGGCTGGATTTTAATAATTTGTTGGTGGTTTTCCTTAAATCCTTTTGGTGGGTTTTGTTGGGAGGGGATTAGCTAGATGGACTGATAAAGGAGCAGGGTGGGATCTGGAGACCATGAGTGAGAAGGCAGGAAGGGCTGGGGTTGGTGCTCAGTCAGCACAGGGAAGAGACTGTTCAGAATACAACCTGCAAGAAGCAAACAGATGACTTCATTGGTGCCCTTCAGTCCCTGCTTCAGCTGCTTTCTAGAGCCCCACTGCTGGTTTGTCTCCAGCTAGCTCCTCCCTGCAGTTTCTCCCCCAGAGTCTACATGGCCTGCTGCCAAAACAACAATGTTAGGTGAGGGGACAATCATAAGGGGCCTACCACCTTGTGGAGCCTCCCCCTACACTATTCTGGGCCCAGGGGTGGCTTCTACCAATAAATCCATTTAAGCTTTGTCTACATTACAGATTCATTTGGTGTAATTTACATCATTTAGAGGGGTAAATAATCCATAACTCTGAGTGACATAAATTATACAGACCTAAGTGCCAGTGTGGACAGGTTATGTCAGCAGGAGAGCTTCTCCCTTCGACATAGCTCCCAACTCTCATGGAGGCAGGGGTTATTAATCTGACAGGAGAGCACAGTCCCCTTGGCTTAGAGCATCTTCACCAGAAGTGCTACCGAGTACAGCTCCAGCTGCTGTGGTGTGCACATCACTATTGAATGTGATATTGTTTGTGGATCTTCTCAGCTTCTCCACAAAGCTGAGAGTGCTCTTCCCCTCACAGTATAAGCCTCTCCCCAGAGCAGGTTATCCTGCACAATGCCAGGCTGTAAGTACTCTGCTGTGATTTATCAAACCAGAGAGCTAAAGCTTTGTCTGTATGGTACATCTGCACAGCATATGCCTTATGGTGGCATGCAGAGAACATACACCTCCGGTATCCCAAAAGCTCTGTAGTTTAGACGTACCCTGAGGCTCCAGCAGAGGAGGAGCAGTGGGAAAAGTCCCTGACAGCTGCACACCACTGGAGCGTCTCCCAGATGCCTTCTCCCAGCCAGAATCTTTCACTGCCATAAGTAGTTATACTCCATGGTGTGGACAGAGCCTGCTTTTCACTGCAGCATGCAGCTACACATACATTATGTACTACTGCTAACGTTTAGATGTAACCCGTACACCTGCTGGGTGTGGTTCACTGTCCCATGTCGTGGCACTTAGACACCTTACAGAGAGAGAAAGAATGACTGTGCTCTAGAGCCTTAACTGAAAGGCATCTGACACTAGGCTCCAGGAATCCCAGGTTCAGTTCTGCCTGTAGACACTACATAGACAAGGCCTAATATTGGTGCAACCTGGTTGATTTCACTGGGAATGTGTGTAACTAAGAGGAGAATTTAGCTAATAGTCTTCTTCCCATTTCTCATGACATTGTTCATCTGATAGCATCTAGGAGCCACTTTGTCAAAGACCCTTATTGGATACCATTATTGGACCTACCCAAGTGAGTTATACAGGACATACCACACTAACACCAACCCTGGTACCTTCCCTTGCAACAAACCCCGTTGCCAGCTTTGTCCACATAGTCACTCTGCTGATACCATTATTGGACCTAACCAAGTGAGTTATAAGATCAAGAACACATATTCCTGCACATCCAGAAATATAAGTTATGCTATCATATGCCGAAAGTGTCCATCTGCTATGTACATTGGACAAACATCTCAGACACTTCGCCAAAGGATCAATGACCACAAAACAGATATTAGACAGGATCACAAAGAAAAAACAGTTTCTTGCCATTTCAACCAGAAAGGACATTTTCTCAACAACTTGATTACCTGCATCCTGCTTCAAAGACCTTTTAAGACTACACTTGAAAGAGAATCCTCTGAACTGTCATTCATGCTTAAATTGGACACTTTACACCTAAGCTTAAACAAAGACATCAATTATCTTACCCATTACAAAGATAGCTTCCCCAATTATCACCTCTAATATCATTAGCTCACAGACATTTACCTTCCCCTTCCCCATCCCCCTTCTGTTCTGAAATTTGATTTGTCCTTTTCATATGTGTTCATTTTTTTAATTGTATCCTTTGGTATATATGGTGACAATTTTCTTCCACTATTTGATCTGAGGAAGTTGGTCTGGCCCATGAAAGCTCATCACCTAATAAACCATCTTGTTAGTCTTTACAGTGCTACATAGTCCTGTTTTTTGTCAAAGACAGTGATTATGTGCCCTTAGCCTATGAGTAGAGCACACTGCAAATGTCAATTCCAAGAGCTCTGGAATTGTGCCTTGAGTACAAAATAGTGCCTCTCTCATGTGTGTCCAAAATAGATTAATTATTGTAAAGACACATCTAAAATTTTCTACAACTTCAATCTACACCTATGAGCAGTAAATTAGTTTTGGTAAGACATTGTAACTATTTGGTGTTTCTGTCAGAATAAAGAAAAGTTATAGTCTTCATCTGAATATTGTTTTTCTTTCTGTTGTTCAGTTAATTACACCAGACCTGTTATTATTTTGGGTCCTATAAAAGATCGGCTCAATGATGATTTGATATCTGAATTCCCTGATAAGTTTGGGTCATGTGTGCCACGTGAGTACCTTTTCTACTTCCTCCTCAGTTCTGTAATAGTAATGTTCTTTGATGTCATGCATACAATGCAGAAGCAGCATCAATATTTATTTTATGTAACTGTGTTTCTCAAAAGCAAGTAAAACTCCTAGCCTTGGTCCAGCTGAGATGCACTGTTTTGTGGTGCTGTGCATGAAATAGAATTTCTGTCCCCTGGGAAATTTCACTTTTCTGAAAAGAAAGCCATTCCAAATGGGAAACGAAAAGTCAGAAATGCAAAATTTCCCAGCAAACAAAATGTTGGTAAAACTCCATTTTGGAAGTCCCAACTTCCTTGGCTCCCCAGTTGACAAGCTGGTCAGAAAACCAAGCAGCTCACCCACTCATGGGCCAGCCACCCAGGAAGCCAGGTTGCTGAGCATCCTGCCCATGAGCAGCCCAGCGACTCAGCCAGAAAGCTGAGTCAGGTAATCTACCAACCATGCAAGCAGCCCAGACTGCAAACCAGGTGGGAAACCAGCTTCTAGCTCCATTATAGCCCAGGAAGCTGGGGAGCCAAGCACTTTGCCCACTTACCACTCAGACAGCCTGGAAGTCGCCTATGGAGCCTGAGAGTCCTAGTTTTGTGCTTGATGGAAGCTGGAAGCCTGGGTTCCCCCCACACCCTGCCAGATGAGATGCCAAGGATTTGGGGACCTCTGGGAGCCCTAGAACCCACCAGACAGGCTCCCTAGAAGCTGTGACTCCTAAGCCCTTCACTAGGGGAACTGCTGCAGAGTTCAGGAGCCTGGAAACTCTTTGAAAATGGATTAAGCTAAACAGGAAAAAGGTAATTTTATACTGGAATAAAAGTGCCTACACATGGACTCATTCAGGAGTAGTTATTGCACTTTAAATTCATGTCATACATTAATCTGAATTAAGGGTACGTCTTGACTACAGGCTTTTGTCGACAGAAGTTTTGTCGACAGATACTGTCAACAAAACTTCTGTCGACAAAGAGCATCTAGACTACATCTAGTTCTGTCAACAAAGCAAGCCGCTTTGTCAACATGACAGTGTAGATGCAATAACACCTTCTGTCGACAGAACTCTGTTGACAAAAGGCATTATTCCTTGTAGAATGAGGTTTACAGCCGTCGACAAAACTGCTGAGTTCTGTCGATGTTATGTCGACAGAACTCAGCGGCAGTGTAGACGCAGGTATAGTTTTGTCAACAAAAGTCCACTTTTGTCGACAAAACCCTGTAGTTTAGACACACCCTAACAGTGAGGTGTAGACAAGCCCTAAGTATCTGTGGTTGTGTTTAAGAGGGCTTTGCCTCCCTCCTTGGTCAATTTGTGTATGTCTAGGCTACATGCCTCTGTCGTCAGAGGCATGTAAATTAAATTACCCGACATAGTCAATGAAGCCAGATCGATCGACAAGGGAAGCCTTTGTCGACTGCTCCTGTAAACCTCATTTCACGAGGTATAAGGGAGATGTCGACAAAGGTTTCTCTTGTTTACCGATCCGCATCTTGACGTGCACGTTGTACTGACGATCAGCTAAGCCGGCACAGTGTGGCGGCCATTTTTATTTTAATGAAGCTGGGGATATTTAAATCCCGGCTTCACTGACTATGTTGGGTAGTCTAATTTACATGCCTCTGTCACCAGAGGCATGTAGTCTAGACATACCCTTTTATGAGCAAACATATTTAATTTGGAAATTGGATGCATTTCCTGGTCATTCAGCCTTTCTCTCCTTGATCTCACTCTGCCCTAGGATGTGGGTCTTATCACAAGATAAGGGGGATATTTTAACGGGAGCCCTTTATTTAAATGCTGGAAGTACTTATGTGCTTGCACTTGCTTATATGTGATCTGAATTTGGCCAGGAGTGGCCTCTATTGAACGTACTCTTACGAAGTATGTGATTTGTGAGAAAAGTGCCTACAAACATCCTAATTTTCTCATCTTTTGTTGGTCTGTGCAGATACCACAAGACCGAAGCGTGACTATGAAGTGGATGGGAGAGATTATCATTTTGTCACTTCGAGGGAACAAATGGAAAAAGATATCCAAGAGCACAAATTTATAGAAGCCGGGCAGTACAATGATAATTTATATGGGACTAGTGTGCAGTCTGTGAGATTCGTAGCAGAACGGGTAGGTTGCACCCATTTTGACTGCCCTTGCAACGCAGTCTGTTTTGTACCAAAGCAACCTTTAGACATGATCCATGTGGAAATATACCAAATCTCTTCAAAATAGTTTCCTCATCATTATGGCTATTTAAGGTTGCAAACAAGTTGTGGTTTATTTTTTGTTTAAAAGTTGCAGCCGTGGATTTGCTAAAGTAGTGGTCACGCCAAAATTGCAATGCTGCTCCACATGCATCTCACCCCACCAAGCCCCCAAATTCCCCAGGAGAGAGTTGCCATTGCAGGCAGAAGTTTATCAACTAGGCACCTTCACCACAGTGGTGGCAGAAGCATAGACTCTTCCTCTCCTTGCACTGCAGTGCCCAGGCTGCTGATGCCTCATTTGAGCAGAGGGATGGCTAGGCCAAATTTGAGTAAGTGGCATTGCAACCTGGTGTCCTTTTAAGCCAGGCTGGTGCCCTTCTTAGTGAGAAGCCCAGGCATGTGCAGCCAGCTGCAGAGTGGTGGTCCTTGCACGGCAGCAGCAGCTAAAGGATCACGATACTGAAATTTGCAGAAATTATAAAAAGTTGCAGTGTCTGCTAAAAGTTGCTGTTATGGCAACAAAATCCAGGTTTTTTTACAGCCTTCTGGATATTAGAAACACTCTGAAAATAAACAAAGGGGGCCAGTCCAGCTAGCACTGGATTTGAGAGAATAAGGAGGAAACTGAACAAGGAAGAGAAAAGAGAGCTAAAAATGTAATGAATAAATTGACCGGCAATTATAACCTAAGTTTGCCCCCACTGAAGTCACTTGCAGACTCTCATTGGTTGTAGATTCTGCTCTCTCTTTTTACACTGATGTGAAATTACTCTGGATATACATCAAGGTGTGACCATGATCAGATTTGCCCACAACATGATTAAGATGAGAGGTTAAAATTAAGAGCAGGAAACACATTTCTCGCTTGTCCAGGGTCTAGTAGTACATGGGTTATTTCATGGAAGGGATAATAGTAAACTAGTGTTATTTATTTTAAACATCCTCTCTTTTTTTCCTCTTTGGGAGAAAAACAGCTAGCCCCAATCCATCTCTTCCAAGGCCAAACTGTTAGATACCATCAGGATACGCTCTCCTTTTGTTTTAAAGGAACAAAGTTTATTCTGGATAAGCTCAGAGTTAAAATGAGATGGAAAGGGACAGTTTTTGTTCTCCTAAAGATACACAAAACCATTTCTAGTACATAGTGAGGTACACATATGCCGGTATTCTTGACATAAGGTGACATTCTTCTCTGCAAAGTTTAATTTCATGACATCCCTATCACTTTAACACCTAGATGCAACAGAATATAATTACATTCAGTCTAGATGCCCATGAGTACTATTTGAATTCCTGCCGTGCCTAATGCATGTGAAGTGATTCATAACATCGTTTGAAGGTGTGGAATTCTCTGCACTGTCCTTGACCACTGCCTTTTGAGCAGCCTTCAGACCAGTTAGCATGTCTGGAGTTCTTTGTATTCCAGATGTGGTGTCACGCATCTAAGAACACAATAACATTTTAGTAATATGGATAGCAAAACACTCTTCCAACCTTTTAGCCAACATACATCTCTGTGGTCAGAGGTGCTAATATTTTTCTGACCTTGGTGAAAGGGTGTTGTTTTAGCAGAAGACTAATTCTCAAGTTCTAATTCCCATCTCTAATGCAAACTCCTTCTATGACCCTGGCCAAGTCATTTATCCTTTGTGTTTTGGTTTCTTTACTTGTAAAGTGAGAATAATGCACGCCTACTTCATAGCTTTATGAACATTAGTAATTATAGCCTTACAGACACGCCTGTGAGGTAGGTACTATTATCCCCATTTTACAGATGTGAAAAATGAGCCACTAAGAAGTTTATGTGACATGTCCAAAGTCACACAGGAAGTGTGTATCAGAGCCAGAAACTGCCCTCCACCAAATCTCTTCACTTTCTGCTCTGTATTTCAAGTGCAAGAGTGTGCTGTTTTACCTGAAAACAAGAGCACTCCACATGCCTTTAAATCCATCCTAGTTGATCTTCCAAAACTGAAAAAGTTTTCTTCCACATCTCCAGTTTATCTCTTATATTGGCACCAGAGCAAAAAAAATATTGTGCAAGTAAACAGCTGAGTTAGTACCCTGGAGTCTAGCCTCCTCTTGCTGAGTTAGTAATGTTTGTTTTCTGGAACACTGCATTTTAGACTGTCTTCCTTTCTTTTGGACAACTTGCAATAAACACTGCAGAAATAAACACATCCTATCTGTTTCCAACAGGGCAAACACTGTATACTTGATGTATCAGGAAATGCTATTAAACGGTTACAAGCTGCACAACTGTATCCTATTGCTATCTTCATTAAACCTAAATCATTGGAGCCACTGATGTAAGTATATAACTCCCTAGACTGTTTTGGACTTCTTTTCAGAAGGCACATTGCCAGCATTTTGCCTCTTCTTCAAAGTCAGGAAAACCAAGCAAATCAAGGAAATCTAGAATATTGAAGACTTGATTTTAATTTACACAATACATAACCAGTCAGTTACTTAGTTGTTTGAGAATGGAAGTTAGACAACCATCACTTACAGCTTGATTTTGGGGGAAGTGACTTAATGCTCTGTGTTTTCCACATCTGTACAATGTTTTCCTATTTGTTTAACACTGACACGGCATCTGGTGCTTTAAAATACACAAAAATAAAGATGGTCCCTGCTCTGATGATCATACAGTCTACCAAAAAGACTGTACAAGATTTAACACAGTGGGAAAAACAGACATGAAGCTTGATTTGTTTGGGAAAAGAATATCTACCCAGAATAGGGAGAGCTCAGTGGATGAGGAGCACTATATTTATGCAGAACATTGTGACTGTTATCCTACTATTAAAGAGAAGTAATATTAAATCCTGTCAAGTTAGTGGCAGTTTCTTTCAGGTTATGTATCAGCTATTTTTTTACTTTCATTAGATTAAAAAAGCTTTTGCCCAAATCTCATCAGTGCTGACAATACTACAGGGACACACAATGTGAAATCCATTATTTTTTGCTTCATGAATAAGAGCCTTTTATAGATCTTTGAATGTCTTATTTTAGAAATGCTTTGCAGAAAAAGCTTTTAACTAGAACTTCAAGATTTTGTGGGACAGCAGCATCTAGGATCCTTGTAATGTGGTTGAGATGAGTAAGTTATTCAAACAGAAAAAGACTAAAACATTTCTAAGAAGAATAGGAAATGTATAGAATTCAAACACTCTAGATTACTTACAAATTCCATGCTCTCCCCTGCAGCCAACACATGGGAAGTCATCTCAATAACGTGTGTCTTCCTAAAGAACGGTTAGTTTTCAATATGAATAAAAATCTCAACATATTTAATAGAATTCTTTTTGAGGTCAATATCAAGAGAATAATGGCACAACACTGAGGTGATTAGCCAGGAAAGTTACCCATGTCGCTGAACTGTACCCTAGTGAAATGACTAGGTCTTTGGGTTTTTCTACAAGGGGACAGGGAAGTTAAGTGATTCAACTAAAGATGTGAAGTAAATGTGCAGGAGTTAAAGCATAAGGTTAAATTTTCCATCAGATGTTTTCCCTCTGAATAAAGTGGGCTTAGTCTTCCAAGGAAGATTGTATTAGAAGGAACTGACTGCTTTACTCCTGAATGAGAGCAATTCAGGGGTTTAAACCATTTAGGGGTTAAAGATGCTTTAACTTTAGTTGCTGCACCTTAACTTTCCTGAGTGTTACCATGAAGACATGACTTTAGTAATCTAGGATTTCTAATGACAGAATACAGCTAAGTGCTTATCTACACACACAAATTGCACCCCTTTAACTATTCCAGCATAATTACATCACACATATACCACTTACTGCAGATGCAGTTATACCAGTATTAAACAACCATATATCAGTACAGAAAGAATAAAGATAAGGCACCTTCATACAAGTGTTTCTATGTCCTCATTATTCATTGTAGGGGTATAATGATTTCAGTACAAAATTACATCCCTTGCCAAAATAATTGTATCATTACAATACACAGTGCATAAATCAGACATAAGATTTAAATAGACTTAGCCAATACTCCCTGTAATGCAAACATGTTCCAGGTCAATACAGTAACTGCCATCATGCATAGATAGAAATGTCTACCTGTGGGTATCTACATCTGCAGTTAGACATTTCTATCTGTGCAGGGCTCTAATAATAACCAAACAAACTCTCCACCTGACAAAAAATTGCAAACAAGAACAAACACAAAGACAAAAAACATAGAGATGACTTGTAGCGAAGATCATTAATTCACGATAAAGGACCCAATTCTCATTGACTCTAAGGCCTTGTCTACACTTATCTGGAGATCAGCACTGTAGGGATCAATCTCCCAGGGGTCAATTTAGTGGGTCAAGTAAATACCCACTAAATCGACCTCCCATCGATTTCTGTATTCCAATGGATCGAGACGAATCAGAGGAGTCAATGGGAGAGTTTCTCCTCTAACCCTCCCTCCTCCCCCAGTGGAGATGCTGCTGTAACTTAAACTACGGTACATCAAATTCAGCTATGCTGTTCATGTAGCTGGAGCTGCGTACCTGAGTTTGATTTTGCCCACAAGTATAGACTTGGCCTAAGACTCCTTTAAGACCCTTTTAGATAGTGCCAGAGTGAAGAAAAGTGAGTATAAATTAAAGTCCCTATAACACTACTAGTACAGGTTGAATCTCTCTAGTCCAGCACCCTCAGGATCTGGGTGCCGAACCAAAGAATAAGCCAAAGCACAAGAGGTCAGTGTTGTCTAGCAGCATTACCAACACTTCCACTGCTTACTGTGTTATGACAAGACATTTAGGGGTCAATTAGAGCCAGATAACAGCACAGAACACTGAGAGCCAGGACTGGTGGCTATAAACACACTTTATGGGACCACAGGAAACTTGGCCACACCCATGATAAGTAGACATCCAACTAACTAAAATCATGCCAGACCACAGATGTTGCCAGATCAGAGGGTATGTCTACACTACCCTCCTAGTTCGAACTAGGAGGGTAATGTAGGCATACCACACTTGCAAATGAAGCCCGGGATTTGAATTTCCCGGGCTTCATTTGCATAAGCGGGGAGCCGCCATTTTTAAATCCCCTTTAAATCCCCGCTCATTCGAACCCCGTGCCGCGCGGCTACATGCGGCACAAACTAGGTAGTTCGAACTAGGCTTCCTAGTTCGAACTACCGTTATTCCTCATTACACGAGGAGTAACGGTAGTTCGAACTAGGAAGCCTAGTTCGAACTACCTAGTTTGTGCCCCGTGTAGCCACGCTGCACGGGGTTCAAACCAGCAGAGTTTTAAAAATGGTGGCTCCCCGCTTATGCAAATGAAGCCCGGGAAATTCAAATCCCGGGCTTCATTTGCAAGTGTGGTATGCCTACATTACCCCGCTAGTTCGAACTAGCGGGGTAGTGTAGACATACCCAGAGATTGCCAGACTAAAGAGGTTCATCTCTACAGTAACAAGGCCTTAACACAAGTGAAAGTCCTGCCTGATGTCTGTGGTAGATTGCAATCCTTCATTGAATGGCAATATTATCATTGAGGAGGCAGGTTTACATGTACTAATTCCAAGCCTATTAATATAACCCACAAATGACTGACATAATGTTTTCAGATAAACCTTCTCTATTCTGTACTCTCTAAATCTACTCTCTGAAGTGATGTAACTGGATTAAGGCTGTACTGAGTAATGTATTTTACAAAAGTTGTTACAAACACTGTGTGGCTGCTGAAGCAACATTCATACTTTCAGTTATACAGACAGCCAACTTAAGGGACATTTATAGAAATAGATTTTGGTAGCTGTAACCACATATATACAACATTTTCCAGCAGGCCGATTTCTGTCCCTGATGGAAGAAACTAAGGGATAAGTCAAGTGTAGCAAACACATGCTCTCATGCACTCACAGATCCTTCTTTATGCATCATCATGCACATAATTTCCTACATTCATCACATGTCATGCCATATACAGTCCATTACCACATAGTCACATGGTTTCAGTACAGAACTTTAAATGAGGTTTATATGGAATACAGAAGACTTCCTTTTTAATATGGTGTGATCTTGCTTCCCTATATTGCCTTGACAAAGTTACCTGCTCTTCTGAAAAATAAATAACCATGTTATAGAAAAGGAAAAGCAAATAGATCTGAATTTATTATTAAGACTTAGGGAATCTGCTGTACACAAGGCACTAAATCAACACAGACATCGGTGGCATGATGAGAGAGGGTGGCGGGGGGCAGTTGCCCCTGGGTGCCACACTACGGGTGGCGCCAATTTAGTCCCCCTCTTCTTCCCCCTGTCATACCTCGGCTTGCCTGCTCCTCCTCCACCCGCCGCCTCCAACTGGAGCCTCCTCCCCGCTTCTCCACCCCCCAGCCCAACCCTCCTCAGGTTAGTGCATGCAGGAGCCCGGCCCCAAACTGGAGGGGGCGGGGGAAGACATGGTACAAGCTCCCCCCACTTCTCCCAGGGTCGAGCTCAGCTGTGCACCAGGTGCAGGGCCCCACAACATGGCAGCGGTGGAAATTATTCCTTTGCCCCCGGGTGCATAACACCCTCGCTAGGCCTCTGACAGACATTGTTCTTTCTGAGCCATAATACACAATATTAATAGTGGTACATGTACAGAAAATTATTTTTCTTACAGTAATTAAATGGTGTCCCAGTGGCTGCTCCAACAAATAATAAAGCTAGTGCAGGGCCCCACAACATGGCAGCGGTGGAAATTATTCCTTTGCCCCCGGGTGCATAACACCCTCGCTAGGCCTCTGACAGACATTGTTCTTTCTGAGCCATAATACACAATATTAATAGTGGTACATGTACAGAAAATTATTTTTCTTACAGTAATTAAATGGTGTCCCAGTGGCTGCTCCAACAAATAATAAAGCTAGTGCTATATAAGGATTTTACTGGTACTCAGTACAGTAAACTTCCGATAATCCGGCACTTTTAGGACCCAGGTGGTGCCGGATTATCAGATTTGCTGGACTATCGGAAGGGGGAACTATT